CTGGACAGTAACGGTAACCAACACCAATATCTAGACAGTAACGGTAACCAACACCAATATCTGGACAGTAACGGTAACCAACACCAATATCTAGACAGTAACGGTAACCAACACCAATATCTGGACAGTAACGGTAACCAACACCAATATCTGGACAGTAACAGTAGCCAATACCAATATCTGGACAGTAACAGTAACCAACACCAATATCTAGACAGTAACGGTAACCAACACCAATATCTGGACAGTAACGGTAACCAATACCAATATCTGGACAGTAACAGTAGCCAATACTAATATCTGGACAGTAACAGTAACCAACACCAATATCTAGACAGTAACGGTAATCAACACCAATATCTAGACAGTAATAGTAATCAACCCCAATATCTGGACAGTAACAGTAACCAACATCAATATCTGTACAGTAACAGTAACCAACACCAATTATTAAATGACGGGTTTAAAAAGGACTAAAAACGCCATAAATACTACATATAAGACCCACTTTTGTTCTTAAGTTAATTTTTAGAATACAACAATAAGAGTTAGCTATAAAAAATATGCTCCTGATGTAGACGTAAATCTAAAAAAATAAGATACTTAACCTAGTTTGAAAGATTCTCTGGAGTTGACGGTCATTTAATTTACTCATAAGCATGTGTATTTTACTCCAGTTAATATTACGTATTTTAGAACATGGTGACAAAAGTCAAGATATGTAAACTGTAAAACGTCATCTTACAAGGTATAATATAAAAACTCTTGTGTTAGGAAAAGCAATTAGTCCGATACAGGCGCTTCTTATGCTCTTTTATTTATAAACAATAAAAGTATTGAAAATTTGAATACATACAGAGTTAGGATAATTAGAAAGACTAGTTATCTAGAGACGAGCCATTTCTTTTACCAAATACTGAATAAACAATAACATGTACACTATCAGGAGGTAACCATCAATAAAACAATAGTTGTATAGAGCCAGGAGGTAACCATCAATAAAACAATAGTTGTATAGAGCCAGAAGGTAACCATCAATAAAATAATAATTGTATAGAGCCAGGAGGTAACCATCAATAAAATAATAATTGTATAGAGCCAGGAAGTAACCATCGACAAAACAATAGTTGTATAGAGCCAGGAGGAAAGTTTTAATAAAGCAACAGTCATGTGGGATTAGGTATAACCGTCCAATGTCATCAATATAACAATTGTCATGTGGGATTAGGTATAACCGTCCAATGTCATCAATATAACAATCGTCATGTTGGATTAGATAAAACCGTCCAATATCATCAATATAACAATCGTCATGTTGGATTAGATAAAACCGTCCAATGTCATCAATATAACAATCGTCATGTTGGATTAGATAAAACCGTCCAATGTCGTCGTCAATATAACAGTTGTCATGTGGGATTAGATAAAACCGCCTTATGTCATCAATATAACAATTGTCATGTGGGATTAGGAAGTGACCGTCCAATATCGTCAATATAACAATAATTATGTTGGGGTCACCATCTCTTAAAGAAGAGTTATATAATATTGGACGGTGGCCGTGGTGCCGTCCCATACAGTCCACGATTCTCAGTTCCCAGTGGACGTAAAACCGAATAAATTGCTTTCATGGACGCTATATCATCACAAGTCTTAAACTACGAAACCTGTTATCCTGCGAATAAGGTTGGTTTCAGTTCTTACTACCAGGAGTATCAGAACACTCCATTTTCAAACACATTAACTGTGTGATTATCACAGAAAAATGATGTGAGAAGTCACGTGGATGGTCAGCTACTGTCATACAAAAAAAAACATTGGCTTCCAACGTGTTAACTCTTAAGTAATAAACGTACCATTAATAAAATCATACTATATGTTTAGTGTTAAACAATGAATGAAAAGGTTTCTATCTCTTAGGATTTGAGCTCACCCCCTCCCCCCACCAGCAGGGTCTCAACGGTATGTTTGCAGGTTTACGACACTAAAAATCTGTTTTCCATACCCGTGGTGGGCAGAGCACAGATAGCCTATTGTGTAGCTTTGCGCTTAACATTAACCAAACAACACTTTGGATTTGCGTGTGAAGAATAATATATATCACCTAACTGGCACTTCTGTTACGTATGTGTATTAAAAAATAGCAATTTTAGTCTTTCCAATGTTTTCCTGACGAACTTGCTTCTTGATACAGTGTAGTTTCTTTTTGTACACAGAAGATGAAAATATAACACAATTTTATCTTTAAACATAGTTTTAAGTTACTTAAAAATATTCTTTTGCTGTAAATACTGCGTTTTTGTACATTATCCGACACGATCGCGCCACAATGTCGAATAATATTAGAAAACAGAAAACCAAGTAGGACTGACGTTTCTCGTTTCAGCCGGTTACACCCGGTTTTTCCAGTACTGTGTCGCGTTACAAATTATACTGCGTGCGTTACGCTCGTGCCAAACAAACAAATAGATTTTGTCTAAAATACCAAATAAAGCTAACATGTTTATCGCTAGGTAATTTCTCCACATTAATGTAAAATTATAAATAATGCGCTTTATTCCTGAAATGTCACTTTCATCTGTTTGTTTCTTAATTTCGCGCAAAGCTACACAAGGCCTAGCTGCGTATAGCCGTATCTACTTTTGAACTGGTAGATTAAAAGAAAATCAACTAGTCAACTGTACTCGCTGTCAACTATATGACTACTTGTGTCAGACTGAATACGCATTTTCGGCAACGGATCACGAACCATTAATCCTCAGATTTACAACCCAGGACTACAGATCAGTAGTGCACGCTTGGCCTTTGACATATCAGAAAACACAAGACATTTAAAAATCTGACACCTGCTTGTCTCTTGTTTTAGATCAAAGTCACATTGGGTTACCTGCTGTGTCCACCACGGGGAATCGAACCTCGGATTTTAGCGTTTTAAGTTCGTAGATTTACCATTGTCCCAACAGGGAACATCGGTTTATAAGAAGTTGTGAAATAGAAATTTAGCATAAACTACAAATATTTCTAAAACACCGGTCTCTTTGTATACTGCTTTTAACCAATGGCTTGTTGCGTCAGTACATCTTATTGCTTGTTACAACACTTAATAGAAAGAACTGACAAGAATAATTTGAGTAAAATCACTCAATTTCTCTATAAAATACGTGGAGGGCCCAAACAGTAAATATTTGGAGTGATTGCAATATTGATGGTATTTTTAATGACTTATATGTTATTAGGGACCCTTTAACCAGACTTGGTGGTTAGAGCGCTAGATTTGTAACCTGTGGTTTGCGGGATCTAAACCCGTCACCAAACATGCTCGCTCATTTAGCTGTGGGGACGTTATAATATGACGGCCAATCTCACTATTTTTCGGTAAAGATTAGCCCAAGAGTTGGCGATAGGTGTGTTGATTAGTTGCATTTCCTCTTGTCTATCACTTCAAAATTAACTTAAATAACTCTCGAGTACTATTGCACGAAATTCAACAAAAAGAAAAAAAAACTCTCCCAACAACAAAGTAATGCACACATATCCAGTTTGGAGCATGCATAATTTCAAAAATTGTCTTTAAAAGGACGAAAGTTTTAGGGATATTAGAAAATGGAGTAAGAACTAATGTAACTTTGACAGTACTGAAATTAATTCGTTAATGTTAAGATAAATAACTTAAAAACTATTTATCAACAAAATTTTTATAAGATAAAATTCCAAGGCTGAATTTTTAATACTAGTGTTTTTGTAACAGTTTAAAGTAAGTTTGCACAAAATAATAGCAAGAAACATTTCAGGTTATCGTAGTGTTTGGTCGATGGTAAAATTAATTTTAGGTTTATTTGTGAATCGATTTATTTTCATATACGGAATATTTTCTCGCCAAAATTTCAGATCTTCTGCTCATTTCTACACTGCAGTGAACATTTCCACAAAGTTCTCGTACTAATTAATACTAAATAAAACGTTTTTCCAATATAAAGTTAATACTGTTATTTACAGATTTCTTCTTCTTTTTAATCAACTATAAGAAGTATTATTTATGTCCACGATTCCTATAAACCGTACCAGATAAATAAGTATTATATTCACCAGTTCAAATTATTAAGCAACTGATAATTTCAACGGTAGGTGGCAGCATGGGATTCCCTAAAGGTATTCTGTAGATAGGACGTTCAAAACCAACTCAGCTGTTGCAGATTAACATCAAACACAAGTTGAACTTTGAAGGGGTCGAAGGCTAGAGTTTGTGAGAATATGGCAGCAAACCTTCCACATGAATTTAATAAGTTTAACAAACACTGTAAATATTTGAAATATTTGTTGAAAGAAACGAGAAAATCTCTTGAAGAAATAGAAAAGACTGGATATTTCGATAATAGTGAGTTTGATAGCTCATCATGATTGTCTGTAATTTTTGCACATTTTTAAGACTAAGTAAAACGGTAATTTGTACTTTGTAGAATTTACCATAAGTAATTTAATAAGTTTAGGATTTATACAATAAGACTGATATAACTTTAGAGTTTATGTAGAACTCGAGTTTGGCTTCGTATAGAAAAATCGAAGAGACTACAACTTGCAAGTACTATTAGTACTAGTGAATAGTGTCAGTAGTGTCACTGACACTACTACAAGTACAATAGTGCTTGTCCCATTAAGGCTAAGCACAGCAGCACACTCTTAACTATCTAGGATAAGTCTGAACGTTCAGTTATCTTGTATTGTTGTAAATATGTTTTGAGCTAATTCTTTGGAAACTACAACGAATTATAACACTAAACTTTAACTCTCAAGAGAGAAACAGTAAAATACAATAATGTCATTCCTAAGTATAATGAAGAGAATAATAATGATTACTAAAATTTGCTAGTAGTACTAACTAGTAGACCCAGTCTCATTTTCTTTTCTCTTGTAGCAAAGTATAGTGGACCAACTCTCATTGTCTTTTTTGTTGTAGCAAAGTATAGTGGACCAACTCTCATTGTCTTTTCTGTTGTACCAAAGTGTAGTGGACCAACTCTCATTGTCTTTTCTGTTGTACCAAAGTGTAGTGGACCAACTCTCATTGTCTTTTCTCTTGTAGCAATGTATAGTGGACCAACTCTCATTGTCTTTTTTGTTACAGACAAGATAATAGAAATTAGCAGCAGTGTACTAGATATTCTCAGATGAAATACTTATTAATTGATACTTTATCAATCAAACACAAATATTATACATTTAATTAAGAGATTCAGCTTATAAATACGTTTCACCCATCACACTCTTAAAAGCATTGCTATTTTTCCTAATTGTTGTTCAAGTGATAAACTAATTAATAACTACTGGTTTTGATATGATTCATTTGTATCATTTTCCCCTGGACTATTTTGCATTAGTTTATATTTTGTTTATTAAAACATATATATATGGAATCTGTGGATTAAATACAGAAGAGTAAGTTAAAATCTTCTAAAGTAATAATTCTAACTTAACATGGCTTCTAAAATTATGGAACATTATGTTTGTAATGTCACAGTTTAAAACATTGTTTCTAATATCACAGTTTAAAACATTGTTTCTAATATCACAGTTTAAAACATTGTTTCTAATATCACAGTTTAAAACATTGTTTCTAATATCACAGTTTAAAACATTGTTTCTAATAT